CATTCAGCGTAGCCAGACGGGCCTCCGTAATCCACTTTTCGCCCCTCCGGGAGACAGGACGTGACGTGTGGCGAACCTCGTCGACGGTTATCCTCCCGGAGCTTCTTCTCACCCCTGCCCTATTAAAGGGGCGCCGGGAATTCGGGGCCATTTCTTTTAACTGTTGGCTCATGGTGCGACCTAAGGGGTGGTAGATTTTACGCTGCTACCATACGGCGAGCAGTTGACTTTAATAGGCTGTAATGGTATCATTCTGATACATTTATTGTTCGTTGTAAATTATTTTTTATTACAATACACGCATTAAGTTACAATGCCATACCATATTTCATTGTAAGCCCTGTTCATATGACCACCAAATAAATTTAATACCCGTTGTTGTGGCATACTTGTGGCATCGATAAATTTCTCATGTATGTTTTGGGTAATAAGCTCTTATCGTTATTTTATTATCGTTACTCATGTTCATTTATATTTAACAGTTATCTACTGTCTACTTAAAACAACATTTTCCATTCAATATTCTTTAATATTTGTATTGAAAATATTATGACATTTACTTATTGAAATATTTTAAAGTCTCACAAACCTGTATTAATGGCCCAATTTGAACATTTTTAAACAAGTAAGAGTGATACTGTCCAACTGATGGTAAATGGATAATCAGCGCGAGCGGAGGGAGTCCTGCACTATCCCACAATCTATGCATTTTAGTGGTACACTTTACTTAGAAACTATCACATTTTCAGATTTGTGCTTTGACATAGTATTTTTGATTCATGTCTAGATGTGTTATCTATCATAAAAGTATTATTTTATCCACATTTACAAAAAATAGAAAACATAACAATTTTCAATAACTACATTTGTATTATATTACTAATGCTGTAAATCTGTAAGAAAACTTAAAAAATACTTTGTAGTAGTACCACGTTAGATACTGATGGCGCTAATTATGAATTATGAATGGAGCATAACTTAATGAAAAAATGTCGGATGACCTTTGAGGTTTCGACATTATTTAGGGCCAACTTAGTCAAGTCTATGGTCTGTCCAAGGCCAATAATTATTTTTTGCAGATCAATTCATTTTTAAATGTTATAAATTGTAACAATTCGCGAGCCATTACAAAGTTGTACTTTTAGCTAGTATTATTGGTATACAAAACAAATATAATAAGTATAGTCTGCATTATTGAGGAATAGAACGCTATCATTAAAACGGTCTTCGGTTTTCGTCACTCACCATACGAAACGGCAGAATTATGTTGCAGTTTTACGCCAGTATTTCGTGACATATCAGCGATTTCTTCCCTGTTCAGGTCAATCCATTCGTGTTGCTGCCAAAATACAAAGTCAGCGGAGCTGTACGACATCGACGTATAAGGCTGAAAAATATATATTATATAATTAAAGCTAAGTTATTAGATCACAAGGACTGATTTCATAGCAAATCACCTTCTGATACTTTGAGTAATTATTTATTGAGCAAATAATTAAATGGAACTTTGTTGATTGCTGCCAAAAACAAGAACTTAATTCCAACTTTGTCTTCCAAACCTTTTTGCTGATTTATGTGAAAACCTAACAACAATACCTAACCGTTGATTACTTACATTTGTTTTTTTTTAACTAAAGTTGGAAACCAAATCAAAAAAAAGTTACTTAGCGCCGAGTTTTAATTGTAATGTTCTTATAATTCTAAAGTAATATTAATACAAACATATTAGTTAGATTATTTATTATGTTTGCACAGTTCTACCTACTTGCTTTTAACAAAATTATTTATCTTTCGTCATAATTGCGCGAATCATTAATAATAATTCGCGCAATTATGACGTCTCGCAGGATGCATCATCCGAGATTTTCAGCAAAGAGGCCGTACTTACCGCGAATACACGGTGAAAGTGGCTTGTTAGACACCCTCACCATCCCTGATCGCCAAGTGTGCAGCCTCCTAAATTACTTCTTGACGAGGTATGGTGACCCATACTACAAGTATGTCATAACTTTTGATGAAGAACTTAGCCCTCTGTCCGCGGTACTAAACATTTGACCGGGATAGTGTATAGCTGTCCCGGTAAGTCACTTAGAAATATCATATGTATATACGCAGCTTAGTAGTCAGAATCCTACACCAGCTAGCTCTGTAGTACAGTTTCTTGGATCGAAAACTGCCATATTATAAGTACTCGCAAGAAACCGTGCTCGTAAATTACCGCACCTGATTCTATTGGGACAAGCCATCATAACAGGCGGAACTGTTCTTGCGAATAAGCCCGATATTTGTGGCCTGACCTGTTAGTCGAACAGGTACAGTCAATGATATTTTTAGTCAACATCACCATTTCTTATGACAATAAGCTCGTAAAAGCCGAGATACGAGTAGATAATAAAATATCTGGACATAACTCACGAAGTGACCGACTTAAGGTGGGATGCCCACAGAAATTATTCCTGAAGTTATTTCTGCGAACGGGTTAATCCACGTCAGCCTCTTGGGTTATTATAAGATATAATAAAAAATATTTTTAACAGCTTTTATAAATGAGACAGTGCAAAATATTTTAATGAAGATTTTATCACTACGTGAAAATGTCACAACACGTTGTGATTAGTAACCACCAAGTAACTGATCTATTTTTTGGCGTTTACAACTTCATGGCGTACTGCTACATTGCGAAAGATGACGGTCGAGATGAAGTGGGGCGTGAGGCGTGAGTATAGTATCTTTACGTTTCTATTACGAACACTTATTATAACTAACTTAGTAAAAGTTAGTATGTGTTGGCAGACTTTACACGTCCTAAAAGAATATTTTCTTTTGCGTGCTAAATCCTAACAATTTTATTAAAATTCGCACGAACGAATCAGATTTACCCGCTTAATATGAAATTTAAGGCGGGCGCTCATTCCCTGAGTATTTGCGTTTTTTACAAACAACGCAATTATAAAGATTGTCTCTGTATTGTTCCTTATATGGAAAGTATACTTTATTAGAACAGGTAGTATTAAATCTTTATAGTCTTTGTATTAAAAATAAAAGGTCAAAATTTTAATAAAAATTTACTGCTGGATATTGGACTAAAAATCCAGGAGCTTTAATTATATTTTGTGAAAGGTTTAATCATAATAATCTCGCATGTTTTGTAAGCAAGAATTACCAAACTTTTAACAACCTGACCGGCAGCACGCGATAAACATGGCTTAGATAACAGATTTATGGCAAAAAATTAATCATAAATCAAATCCACCAACTGGTAATTGTAGGCAGCGAGGAAAATACGAAAATCGACTTTGTATTCACAAACCTGCTTGTCCAGCGTGATAATCATGGACACGTTCGTGTTAAAAGTTTTCACACAAATCTGAAACAAGCCGTTAGTTTGTGCTTTCTCATTACGCATTAAAAAAAAACAATATATTTTTATGTAAAACAATTATGATAGTGACCAAGATCAGGCCCTCCTTCTAGCTATTTTGACTAAGGAATGTAGCCACCGTGAAGTGACCTCGACACATTACTTGACGAGGAAATCTTGCGCATACCCGTAAAACTGAACGCAAATTTGCCAGCATCGTACGCGCCGTATGCGCCGCATTTTAGAATTCGTTGTATGAAAGCCTACAAAACTTTACACATTGCAGCCGCACCTTACGCGCCGTATTTTATAAAAAGCGGTAGGTATACGAATATTGAAGGAAGCATGCTGATGACTTCATATAAAGGCACACGTTCGGCGCGTGCTGATACTCAGTGTCGTCTAATGTTGTATGTGGATTTTTCACTAAAACGGTGGTTTCGACTTTCGTATATTTATTATAGGTTTTAGTATATGTAGTAATTCTTGAAATTTCTTGTGTGTCAAATGCAAATATCTGAAAAATCGTTCACCATTATCTAATAATTTTTTAAATAAAGTACAATACCCTCCACACTACTGTCTATATAAATTAATAATGTGAATCCAGAGTCTTATTTTTGTTCGAAATTTATTTTTTTCTTCCTCTGCCAATATGCAGGCTATTACAACAATTTTTTCCATTGCGATCCGAGCGATTCCGAGCCATCAATGTCACTGTACCGTTTCACACCAGTGGTTGTAAAAAACTGCAAAAGTTGTTGGCAATACAAAAGATTTACATTCGGCGCGTACGGCGCATACTTGCAAATGTGCGATGCCATCATTAAGTGCGGTGCGGTGCGTAAGGTGCTGACAAATGTGCATTCAACTTAAGAATCCGACTAGGAGTGGCGATTTGTTAACCTCATCAGTGTCCTTAGGAGAGAGGCAAAACCCTTTGTAATGCTACGTGCTGAGATACTTTGGCACCTTCTCATCTCACGGGTACCTCATATATAGCCGTCATGGCATCAGAGGCAGCTGAACTAAGCGTTGTTTTCGTAATAGTTATAGTTCTTTTTATTATTATGATTATAAATATTGTATATTTTTAAAACCTTGAGTCTGCGACAAAAAAAGGAAATTAATATCTTAACTTTGGCCTCTCTTTACATTTACCAAAATGCACACAAAAATATAAAAAGTTTGTAAGAAAATATGTGTAAAAGTAAATACTAAGAACAGACATAAGGTGGTACCAGTTACTCAATTCCACAGAATCAGTAATTCATTCTTGGGATAATATATATCTTTAGCGAGTACAACAAAATCCCAAATAAAATATATAAAATTTGTCCACCGCCATATACGAAAACTTAATTTAACAAAAATGTTATTAAAAGGGTTTTATAATGTTAAGGAATTTAAGGATAATAATAATCCCTGGGAATGAGTTGATCGTTACCAAACTATTTCTAATTTGTTTTTTGTAATTAATTGTGTAACATAATATATTATTATTATAAACTTTTTCTCCCAGGCCAGAGATATTCTCCGAACCGACATAAGAATGACTTTCAATATGTATTACATTCGAATACTTAATTTTATCTACAATATTAAAAACTATGATAATAAAAAAAAAAAAACTAGAAACTTAATTATCATATAGTCCTACTCCCCGCGGTATCGTGCCAAGAACGCTGGCTGCGTTTCCCCGCTGAATGGCTATACTTAGCCTTTGAGCGAGGAAAGAACCAGCCCTCTTATCACCAGCAGCAACGACCAGCCGCGGATGGAGTTCCTTTAGGAACTTCACCGCACGTGGACCCCACGGACCGATAGTCTCTACAGCAAATGGCACAAATATGTAGTCATCTCTCAGAGACTCATATTTGCGCCACTTACTCAGTTCAGCTGCCTCTGATGCTGCCCCGGCTTTAAACGAGGAACCCCTGAGATGAGAGGCCGCCAGAGTGTCTACGCAAGTAGCATCCCACACTAGGGCTTTACCTCTCTCCCAAGGGACCAATGTCATACCGTCGGGTCTCTTGCCATCGTCTCTAAATATTCCACAAGGCTCTAAAACCGAGGGAACATTTATAGAGGCAAGAGCCCTTCGGATGACATCGTTCAAAGAACTATGTCGTGAAAACCTACCAGCGCTTTTCTTACATGAAAGTCCGTGGAGCCCAAACTTGTCGACGCTGCTACCACACGGGCACTGATGGGGTTGACAAATCGCCGCTCCCAGTCGGATTCCTACGGCAATGCGCAAGCTATCCCTATCAAGTAATGTGCCTAGATTACTTGATGGTAAAGCGTGTAACCAGTGACTAGATTCCTTAGTCGAAACAGCTAGAAGGCGTGCCTTATCTTGGTCACTATGGAAATTATGAAACAAATCCTTCTGCACGCCCTGTACCAACGGAATATCCCACTGTTTTTGTTGGTTAACTTCCAGTGGAATATTTTCACCAGGACAGAGCGTTTGCCATGTCTGCCCTGCCTCCGTAGCAAAGCATAGGTCTACTTTATTATTTAAAATTATGTTACATAAGTCACTGACACTATGCACGGAAGCAAGGAAAGCAGGCAATGCAACGCTAGAAAGATTTCTCACACCAATGCCACCAAATTTTATAGGTAAAGTAGCTTGAGTCCAGGCTGTTGTATTTAAAGTTAAATTTAGAATTTTTTCTATAGCTATTTTAAGATTATTATCAATATCTTGTAAAATATCCGAACATTTCCAGACTGGACTCGAGCGGAGTAAGTATGTAAATCTAGGTACAAGAAGACAATATTTTAAAATAGTAAGAGCTATGTGGGGGTTTAATTTATACAATTTATCAACGTGGTTTAAAAACTGATCAAATTTTGTTTTTAAAACAGGTTTAATACTATCGAAAAACAACGGGGCACCTAGCAGGTATAGTGATTCCGTACTGACAGTTTTTATTCCTGGACAAATATGATTAAAATTTTGAATTAAAATGTCTCTATGAGAAGTAGATAAATTATTGGAAAAAAATATTTCACATTTATTGCTATTTGGTTCAAGGCCAATATTTTTAAAATTTCGAAAAATATGAGTAAGATCGCTGAGGACGTCATCTGCTCTACCTCCCAGTGTACCGTCGTCTAGGTACCAGACATTCAGCTTGGATTTCAAATTTGAAATAATGGGTTGAATTCCCAAACTGAAAAGTGCTGGACCCAGTGGGTCACCCTGCTGAACACCGACAGCAGAATCGATAACATGGTTTTCGTAAAACAAGTTAGTATTTTGACTATAACATTGCCAAACGTAATGATAAATTTCGGGGGTATTGTTAGCCACTTCTTTCAGCAAGGTTACCCTATCGATAGAGTTAAAAGCATTCCTTAGGTCAACCTTCACAAGAACATCTGCATCAGAGTTTGTTAAAAATGTACGCACTGAATGTACCGCCGCCTCACAGCCACCTCTAGTGCCAAAACCTAGTTGAGTAGGCTGAAATTTGGTCTTAAGGTTTGAGATTATGTGCCTGCAAGCTAATTTTGAAGTTAAGCGTCGAAATGTGGAACCAACGGCAATAGGACGGATACCGTTATCCTTTTTTTTGAAGGCACATAATCTTGCCCCATATAAGAATGGAATGAAATTTGGATTAACATTACCAGAAAGCATAAAGTTACATAATTTTGTAATGTCTTTAAGAAGTACTCCGCCGGCGTCACCGGCAGAAGCGCTTACAAGATCTTTAAGATGTTGAGGCGTAATTCCGTCAATGCCGCCAGCAGAGCCATTCGAAAATGACATAATTGCTTCTAAAGTGTCTTTTTCCGAAATTTGTAAAGGTTGCATAGAAGTCTTGGGAGGCAGCGGTAAACCCTGAGACGGTTTGACCGAAGGATGCTTTTGACGAAGGCTTTCAAGAGTTTCGACATTATGAGGAGCCAGGATGTCGTCTGAGAATAAAATACGGGATGCATTTTTTAAGTCGCCATCCATTACTTTCGACTCAACTACTTTTTTTAAATCAAATTTAGGACGTGGTCGAGATAAATGAGTATTAATTGGGTAATCTAAATTTTGAAAAGATGTCTCTTTTAGTTGAGACGTAATTGATTTATTTGTTGTTTTATCAAAATGAAAATGGGAATACGCGAAAGTAAATAATTTTTGCCAACTATTTTCACTATTAGTGAAACAATTTTGAATAGTGCATGACAATGCTTTAGCAAGCTGCACCCTCGCACCTCTAGGAATTCTTTTAATCACTGGTACATTACGATAATAATTATAAATTTGCTCCGAAAAAAGGGAAAAATTTGTGTCATTAGAGGAATTGCTAATAAAGTTATGAATTTCTACGGCAGGCTGTGAAGCCGAAATACTTTTACTATGGCATCGTTTAATATGTATATTTAATCCCCTTTTACCTTTAAACAGCCTACCGTCAGCACAATTTTGACACTGTAGGAAATCCGGCTGTGAATGTAGCAGAGCAGAGATATTCATTAAAAAATCTAAACAGATCTCTACAACACTCAAAAGTCTTTATATTACATATTCATATTAACTTGAAATGTGCTGTACCCCGCATCTTTCCCTGAAACAATCATTTACTGTCTAAATAAAAGCACTTTACTCTATAAATGAAATATTATTACATTACTTCCCTGGATTTATTCCATATTGATAAACATTGTATGTATAGACGTTACGCTTTGACAGTTGTCAACGGCGCAGCAGAAATATTTTCATTTATTAATTAGTATTATGTCTGAAATCAAAAAAATATTATTATAACAACTCTCTTATATATTTTCTGATCTTTATATTGAAATTTGTAAGCCAGAATTGGCCTCCAAATAACAAAATAAAATAATTTATATATACGTAGCTTTTGACAGTAAATTATATTTGACAGTAAATATAATGTAAATTATAAATAATATGTATTATTTATAATTTACATTAAACTAAAATTTTTCTATTCTATTAATTATTTAAAATAATATACAGTCTCCTATTTGCGAAGACATTTACTAACTAAATTTAGTTTTTATACGAAAAACGAAATAGGTTAACATTTTAGTTATTGACTGAAACGATTAATAGTTTTTGAAATGTAAATCGCTTTAAACTGCAAGCTCCGGTCGAACTCTACCAACTTGTTATAATGTTAGCAATGTGGCTAAAACATACTACCATACAATTTAATGTTTCAAATTGAGTTTTACTGCAGTGCCTCTAGCTGTTTGTCCTTCGTCTTTAGTTAAAAAGCTAGTCATTCTTAACTTTCAAATCTCCTAACTCTTAATAAAAACAATGCTACGTAGTGGCAGCGTAAAGCGTCAAGGCACATAACTATTTGTTTTTTTATTTCTTTATGATATGCTAACAGTGCTACGATAGTCATATATGTGTTCTTTACGTAGTACACCACGTGGTACGACTACCCTCCCACAAAATACTAGTGTTTAATTTTGCCAACTTAGTGGATTTTTCACTAAAACGGTGATTTCTACTTTCGTATATTTTATATAGGTTTTATGTGCCTTACCTAGTTTGAAGAGTACCTCCCGTCCTTCTACAATTACGTGCTATCCCTGTTACCACTATTCGCAGAACCACTACTCCCAACACCACTACACTGAGAAAAACACACCGCCGATGACAATACGACAACACGTGTTTCGCCTCTACACGAAACATCCTCAGGTGAAGTAGTCTCTGTGGTGGTTGACCGCTAAGAAAGAAAATAATTTTTGCCAACTTTAATATAACGGATTTCCGAAAAGTAACACCTGATTCTATTAATTATCTTAAAAAGGTTAGCGCGGCCGACCAGGCAAGACTCTATGTCAAATTAACAAAACTTCATCGTATTGCTGCCCAATGCTTAGTTCAATTAGCAGTGCAAACAACTTCATGTTATTCCCAATTATATCCAAATATGTTCCGGCACGAGTAGTCTAGCGGTCAATGTTGCTATTTCTTCGTTTCGTTGGTTTTTTAATAGAGATAATTTAAAAATCCACCTTAGAGTATTATATCCCGAACTTTTATATAAACTGCCTAATAAGCGAAAATACATTGAAGCCTAAATTGCGCTATCAAACTTCCGAAGTAAAAACAGAATAGCTCCATGTTACGGTCTACGGCTGCTCCCATAAAGGTCAAATCCTCTGGGGCCCATTCAGCAGAGTTTCAACAAACAGACGTAGGTCGGGCCTCCTAAGGCCAAAGTGGACAGTCTCTAGTTACACTAAACAATAAGGGGGAGCGTTCTATACTACGGCCATTCAACAGGGAGAATATTAGACGGAGCTTACTTACCTATATCCAAGGCGACTGCTCCCTCAGGATTCGGTCAGGTCGCATGTGGTTGTGTGGTGCAAGGGAAATAAGGTGCTATAATGTGTGTCTGGGTGTGACTGATGGTGATTAACCTTAGTAGACCTTTGCCGTCGGCAGCAGCCTGGGCGTCAGCACCGCTACAAATTGAGGTAATCTTCCGCGGCGCCGTCCACAGTCACTTTCTTCGTTCGTCACGATGACAGTCCATTAACTCTATCGTACTATTAACTAACTTACAGAAGCCACTAACTCTCGTTTGTTATAAAGCTTAACACACAAAACTAACAGGGAGTGTCCGGATCAAAGGTCACTACCGCTTCGCGTAGCAACAGTTATTTCTAGAATATCAAAGGCCGATTTAGCTAATATTGTTGAATGCATTTATACAGATTCTGAGTCAGACACAATGAGTCCCTGGGAAGCTCTCCAGCAAGGAATGCGCGTCACAAATCCTAGACAGTATATTTACTAGCCGCGCCTAATTATTCCGAGTTCCCGAACAAAAATTGACAGCGTGCTGGCGTTAGCACAGCTGGAAGACGACCCTGCGCTTGCGCGTTCTACGCACGACCGAATGTCAAACCGGTATGGTACCGAGCCGCGCGCCCTCGGACGTCGATTCCGAAAACAGCGTTTGGCGCGAACACTCCAAACTACCACTTGGAGCGTCAGTCGCTCCCCGGACTTAACACCTTTTCCGGTGGGAGATCTCCCCTTTTCCTACCACGGCTGCAAGAAATATCAAATTTAGTCCCGTAAGTTAAAACGACTTGTATCTTCTTCATCCCGTAATCGTAATAACGACATACATACTAAATATCACAAATTTTACCTCCGAGTTAAGAATCTTTTCGATGTATAGTTTCCAACGGATGAGTTGTCCCTTTTATATAAAGACCTAAAGTATAATTTAACTCCTTCGGTCTCCCAAAAATCGGTAGAGACTGTGGCCGTTGACGCGGAGATGGCCGTTGTGATCGGGAAGAAAAATAACATCGTTAAAAGTTTGATAGCTAAAGAAATTCGAGCTGTACCCGCATCTTCCCATTTCAAGCCTGAGCTCCCTGTTATTAAGTCACTAAAGTAGAGATTAGTGTTAAATAACCTTATTGTTACTAAAGCCAATAAAGGCAATACAGTTGTAATTATGGAGAATAGCGGGTACAGCCGGAAAATTAACGATGTTATCCAATGTGATGACTTTGAGCTATTAGAGTCTCAACCAAAAAGCTTACTTCGATATTAAACTATGTATACAATAGTCATCATATGTTTTTCCCGATCACAACTTTTCTCGGTGCAGTCTTGTTACAATGAATCCTCAAGCACCTATTTCATATAATATACCTAAAATACATAAAGGACGTGTTCCTATTCGTCCAGTTGTCTCATTTATAGGTGCACCAGGTTATTATCTTGCCAAAAATTGGTTTCTTGCCTTAAAAATAATTTAGATCTCATTTCCAAAATTAAAGGAATTCGTATTCCTCCTAAATCCATGTTGTTATTTTTAAATAAAATAAGTTAATATACGCGTATATTAACTTATTTCTATATTACCGACGTTTCGGGTGCTTTCCAGCACCCGTGGTCAGTAATAATGGACACGTCAGAGTATAATTTCAAAATACAGCAAATTTTATCGGACGTAAATACATACAAAAAGGTCAAAATAGACCCTACAACTAATACACTTAAGACATCTACTGATTTAATAAAGAAATACTCCGAAAAATTAGATCTCGACGTGAATTCGACAATACGATCATGTGCCAAACCACCCAGGTTGTATGGGTTACCGAAAATACACAAACCAAACGCTCCACTACGTCCTATAGTAAGCCAGATCAATTCACCAACTTATAAGTTGGCTCAACACTTGGCAAAAATACTGTCACCACTAAGAGGACATACCAGAGCACACACAAAGGATTTATACCATTTTGTTAGTGAGATTATAGACCTACATCTCGCTGACAATGAAACTATGGTCAGTTTTGATGTTCAGTCACTATTCACATGCCTACCTATTGAAGACTGCATCTCAATTGTTATTAGAAAGTTAGAAGATAACAACATGCCTACAGAATATGCAGTATTACTCAAACACTGCCTCACATCTGGCTATTTATTGTGGAAAGAAGAGTTCTACATGCAAGTAGACGGAGTGGCAATGGGCTCACCTGTATCTCCCGTAGTCGCCGACATATTCATGGAGGACTTTGAGGAGAAAGCCCTTCTTACTGCTCCTGTAAATCCAAGATTCTACAAGCGGAACGTAGATGCTACTTTCACAATTTTACCATCTGACAAAGTAACTGCATTTTTAAACCACCTTAATTCCATAAACCCTAAAATACAATTCACAATGGAGTTAGAGGCAAACAATACTTTAGCTTTCCTAGATGTTTTAGTCATCCGAAATCCTGATAACACTATTGGTCATACTGTGTACATAAAAAATATCCATACCAACCGATATTTGAATGGTGAATCTCACCATCATCCTTCACAGTTAGCTACCGTGGGAAAATCTTTGTTTCAGAGAGCACGAGGGATCTGTGACAGAAAACATCTGGCCGCCGAGCTTCAGCACGTCGAGCAAGTACTGCAAGACAACAAGCTTCGGGTCCCGCGCCTACGTCAAAGTGACCGAGTGAAGCCAGCCACAGTCGAGCGTGTGTCTGCTGTACTACCTTATGTCAGAGGAGTCACAGACAAGGTTGGCTACATCTTGAAGAGAGCTTCCATTAAATCATACTTCAAGCCGCTGAAGAAGATTGGTCAATTTTTACCATCCGTCAAGTGTCATATCCCTCTACGTACAAGCTGGATTGTGAATGTGGTCTCTCGTACATAGGACAAACAAAAAGGTCTATTAAAACCCGCGTTAAAGAACATATAGCTGACGTGAAGCACCGACGTATCGGGAAGTCTGCAGTTTGTGAACATGTTCAAGATCGTCCCCGCCATTACATTAGATTTGATAGACCACAAATCCTCGCAAAAGAACACCGATTCCTCCCAAGGATGATTCGCGAGGCTATTGAAATTAAAAAACATCATAATTTCAATAGAGAAGATGGATGGGTGCTGCCATCTGCTTGGGATCCCATAATTAATAAAATCAAATCCAAACCCAAGTATACCACTGC